TCTCATGAAAACTAGATGTACTGTAAGGTAAGAACACTAGGGCTGTAATACAAAATCCTGCCTCTGCTTTAATCTAGCTATGTTATCTCAAGCTATAATTTCACTTATAATGTTTGTATCAATGTCCTTATCCATTAAATGTAGGAGTTAAACTCAATTGTATCTTTGGTTCTTTCTAGTAATCACATTTCTTATTCTTTGAAGATATTCTTGATACTACCTGGAAAAGGAAAAAAAAATGCATCCTGTTTGAAATCATATTTCAAAGGATTTATATGCTGATATCATTTGGCTTTTTAAGAAATCCAAGTAAAACTGCCTGTAGAAATGTGTACAAATTATGGATATACAGATCCCATATAAACACCCAGATTGCACAGCCATCCAAATCAAAAAGAAGTAAAACCAGCACTGAGAATGCGTCCCTCCTTCCCTGTTTTCACATACCACCCCGCACCAGAGATTTGCTTGTTCTTGATAGAAGATGAATATAAACCTGATAGAAATGGAATGTGTGTTTTTGTGACTGGCTTCTTTTGCACAGTATTATGGTGTGAGACTCATCTATGTTACTGTTTCCTAGCAGTGGCTCCCTGATTTTCATTCATTGTGGTGTTTCATGGAATGAGTGATGTGATTTCATTTTCTTTCTCTATCAGTGTTGAAGGACTTCTGAGGTAATTTCAGGTCCTGGCTATACAGCTCGTGGACATGTCTTTTTCTGTCAGACTGGAATTGTGGGGTTATAGGACATGCCCATCACAGTTGACCCTTGAACAACTCAGACCTCTGTGTGGCCAAAACTCTGCAATGTTTGGCTCCCTCACAACTGAACTAAGAGCCTGCTGCTAACAAAGAAGTCTCATTGATAACAGAAACACTAGATGAACACGTATCTTGTAAGTCATACATATTACATGCTGTATTCTCACAGTAAAGTCAACTACAGAAAAGAAAACGATACGAAAATCATAAGAGAAAATACATTTACAGTCCTGTGCTGCAGACATCCACTTGTAAGTGGGCCGGTGCAGTTCAAATCTGTGTTGTTCAAGGTTAATTGAATTTAACTTTAGCAGATATGAGAGTTTCTAGGTGTGTCACATCTTTGCCAACACTTAGTATTGGATCTTTTTAATTTCAGCCATGCTGCTGTACGTAGTTGTATCTAATTGTTTTAACGTGGATTTTCCTGAGGACTGAACCTGAGATCTTATCATGTTTATTGACCTTTTGGCTATCCTCCTATATGAAAAACATATTATTACTATTAATTATTATTATTATTATTTTGAGAGAGAGAGAGGCGGAATATCCCAAGCAGGCTCCACACCCAGCACTGAGCCTGGCACAGGGCTCAATCTCACAACCACAAGATCACGACCCGAGCCAAAATCAAGACTCAGCTGCTTATCCAAGCCACCCAGGCGCCCCTGAAAATCTTATTTAAATATTTTGTTTTAAAAAATGGGTGTGCTGGTCTTTCTGATGTACCACCTAGTTTACAGTCCCATTGTTCAGTCAAATACTATTGTAGGTGTTGCTGTGCAGGTATTCTATAGATGGTTTTAGCTCAATCAATTTGCTTTAAGTAAGGGGGATTACCTTGGATAATCTGTGTGCGTCTGATTCAATCAGTTCAAAGGTCTTAAAAGCAGGACTGAGGCTTCCTTGAGAGAATACAAAGTTCAGCCTGTGGACCACAACTTTCAGTGCATCCCTGTGAGCTCTGGCTTGCCCGTCCTCTTGGCCTGCCCTAAAAATGTCAAACTTGCCAGCTCTCATACTCGCGGAAGCCAGTCCCTTGCAATAAAGGTGAATACATCTCACTGGACCTGCTTCTTTGGTTGAACCCTGACTGATATAGTTGGGTTGTCTTTTTCTTATCACCTATAAGAATTCTTCATATATTCTGGATATGAGCTTTTTCTTGGTATTAGGCACTGCCAACATCTCTCTGTGGTTTACCTTTCCATTATCTTACAGGTGCTTTTGGATGAAAAAAATTTGTAATTTTAATGTACAATTTGTCAATCTTGCCCTTAATGGTGTTTTTTACGTTCACATAAATCTTTGCCCACCCTAAAGTCATAAACATATTCCCTACGTTATTTCCTGTTTCACTTTCCTTATTTATATCTATAGTCCATCTGGGATTGTGTGTATGGTGTGAGGTATGGGTCATTTTGCTAATTCCATACAGTGAAGGGTTCACTCGAAATGTTTAATATTTAGATAGTTTGGACAAACCACGTATTTAGCATTGTTAGTACTGGATTTTCTGAGGATGATTACGTACGAAGAACACACAACAGTTTGAGTATTTGTATCTCTTTAAAAACAGGCTTGCCTGATAAAAAATGTTTTTAAAAAGGAGTACCTGGCTGACTCAGTCAATAGGGCATGTGACTTGATCTCCAGGTCAAGAAAAATTAAAAAGAAATATTAAAAGCAGGACTAAAAATGGGGTGCCTGGGTGGCTCAGTTGGTTAAGTGTCTGACTTCAGCTCAGGTCATGATCTCACGGTTCGTGGGTTCGAGCTACACGTCAGACTCTGTGCTGACAGTTTGAAGCCTGGAGCCTGTTTCCGATTCTGTGTCTCCCTCTCTCTCTGCCCCTCACCTTCTTGCACTCTGTCTCTCTCTCTCTCTCTCTCTCTGTCAAAAATGAATAAACATTAAAAAATATTAAAAAAAAAAAGCAGGACTAAAACTGTTAAATTCATTATATTTTCCAGTGTTCCTGCTCAACTACCCTGAAGAACTACCTCTACGATTAAATGTTAGAAACATATTCACTTCTCCAGATGAACATACATTATATTCATTCATCTGAGAATGAGGACATCATTTTAATATGCTACTCTTCCATGCTTAAGTTGTTGGGAAATTATGTTTCCTTATATTTTTCCTGATCAGCTCAGGCTCTGAAAGATGATGTTTGCTTAATACCTACATTTATTATACAGTTTTAGTACAAAACGCCTGGGACTTGGAGCCACAGGTATTTGGAGTGAAATGCTAACTTTGGTATTTATTAGCTTTTGACCTTGGGCAATTCAATTTCCTTTTTGCAAAACGGGGTTTTAAAAAATACTTATTTATCAGGCTTGTTGTGAGGCTTAAATGAGACACGAAGTGTACACTTAGCACTGCAACTGGCACAGACTAGGAACTCAAAAAAGTAACCATTATAATTAATTTATCATTACTTTAGAATATCCAATCTATATAAAGCTTTCATCTTTTTTTGGGGGGGGAGAAGTAGGGTGAAAACTAAAGTCACATTGTATAATGACTAGATAAAAAGAGAATAAAATCTTTAGTGAGGAAAATAACTTAAAACAATGTAGGTTTTTGCCAAGAACCAGACTCTGAACTACACAGAACACACTGGGGGTCACCAGAGGGGAAGTGAGGGTGAGGGTTGGGGCAACAAGGGATGGGAATGAAGGAGGGCACTTGTCCTGATGAGAAGAAAATAAAATGAAAAAAACAATTTAGCTTTTTATAGATAACTACTGAAGATTTTTAGATTGGAATCTTTGCATTTAGCTGATATGACTTGTGTCCATCAATTTAAGAAAAATTTGGGTGATGACCAAGCACCATGTAATGAATTACAATAAAAGCCCTCTGTCCTTAAAATCTCACAGTCTAATTATAGAAGAGTTTGAATATTAAAATTTAAACTGACTCCCTCTTTACATCACTTTAGTATTTAGTCATACCTCTGGGAAAAGGAAAGAATTGCTTTTCTGACTTTTTCCCAAGTCCTATCTGTTTCTCAATAGGCAACTGATTACTACTGGTAGGCAAATTTATGGGCTTCTAGTCCATTCCTCCAGAGGAAAATAGCTTCACCAGGAGTTAACCAGCTACTAAGGGTGATGGCATTTTATAGGGAACTGATTTTCAAAAATGTATAAAGGAATGCTATCATTCCCCCATAGGTAACCCAGCATACATAACACCTAAAAGTAGAGCAGCCGCTCTTTTGGAAAGGGAATGGGAAGGTCAAACGCCACCTATGATTAGCTTGTAACTATTCAATTTAACATTTCAAAGAAAAATGAAAGAAAGTATTATAACCACATTTACTTACCTATTTAGAATAATTAATTAAAAATATTTTTCTCTGTGCTTATTTTGACAGAAATTTTGACTATAATACTGGGGTAATGTAATGACAGAAAGATATGGGATAAGAATTGGACCCTGTTCTTTGTTTTTCCTCTTTTATTTTTTTTTTGTTTTTTTGTTTTGTTTTTTTTAATTTTTTTTTTTTTAAAGTTTATTTATTTTTGAGACTGAGAGACAGAGCATGAACGGGGGAGGAGCAGAGAGAGAGGGAGACACAGAATCGGAAGCAGGCTCCAGGCTCTGGGCCATCAGCCCAGAGATCTCACGGACCGTGAGATCGTGACCTGAGCTGAAGTCGGACGCTTAACCGACTGAGCCACCCAGGCGCCCCCGTTTTTCCTCTTTTAAACTAACAAGAAAAGTCACAGAAAAAAATGGAGGCTGGGAAAAGTTTCTAATTTTAGTTGAGCAAAGGTTGGGTCATTCTCTTAAAAGCTTCAGCTAGATAGACAAGGATAGAATATTAAGGGAGATTAGTAATTTGTATTTACTTTTAAACATTTTTCTTAAAAATGTTTATTTTTGAGAGAGACAGCATGAGTAGGGGAGAGGCAGAGAGAGAGAGAGAGAGAGGGAGACACAGAATCTGAAGCAGGCTCCAGGCTCCGAGATGTCACCACAGGGCCCGCCATGGGGCTTGAACCCACGGACCGTGAGATTATGACCTGAGCTGAAGTCAGATGCTTAACCGAGTGAACCACCCAGGTGCCTCATGAGATTAGTTATTTTTATAAGGCTAAGTTATTACTTAATATTATATCTATAGGGTGTACACAGCCATACCTCAATGAGAAAAATTTCACATGAATTTAAAAGCTGTACGCTTTATCTATAAAAATATCTAAGTTTTTTCTTACCAGCAGCCTTTTCATTTTGACCCAGGATATTATTTCGTCTTTTCCACAAGGGAACAGATTCTTCTTTAGTAGTTCTAAGAGTCACAGTGTGATGACTTTCTTCATAAACAGGACATCTGTGGGTGCAGTGAAACACCCCACCTTGCTGGGCAACCGTTTGCGTGCCGTTTGAAAGATGTATTTTTGCTAAAGTTCGGCACTCAGGAGAACAGTATGGCAGAGAAGGCATCGTAGTGGCTAATTCAGAGCAAACATCTGAGGGCGGAAAACTACTTTCTTGATTCCATTCATTTAACCTGTGTTCTGTTGGAAGCACAGGTTGTGAATTAACATAGTTTTGTGTCATGACGTTTTGAGAATTTTCAAGTGTTACTGATGGACACTGAGACACCTGTGTATCTTTACCACCCCTCATATGCGACGGAGACTTAGGGGGAGGATGAGGCACAGTCAGTCTACCCCGAGCTGGTAAAAATACGTCAGCTTTGCTTGCGGACTGTGGCCGAACGACAGTGCCTTTTCTGCTGGTACACGCAGAGTGTGCCTGGGCTTGAGCACATCTTGTTCTCCTCATGACTTTTGCGCCACCTCTTCGTGGGTGAGCTTTCTGAGCTTTAGAATTACCACTAGGTATAGGGGCTTGGCTTTCCTCTTTTTCTGAGGCTGGCCACGCTTGTTTAGCAACATCATAACCTGAAGGTATGAGACAGCTCCGAGGCACACGGTCTGTTCCAGGTTCTCCTAAAGCAGCGGCATTTTCAGAGATAGAGCCCTCCGTGGGCTTTGTTCCCTCAGCAGAATTCACAGGACAGGCAGGAGCGTTAATGATGTTGCTGGCAGCACCACTTTTAGGCTGAACGTGGAATGGTTGAGACCACTGTTGAGATAGTTCTGTTCTCTTCTTCAGTGAATGAGTATCCGCAGCAGTTTTTTCTGTATCTCCAGTTTCATCAAACCACCTCAGTTTTTTAATAGTCTTTGGTATTTCTGTACCTTTTTCTTTTGTTAATTCAATACTATCTCTGATAGCTGCTGCTCTTTGATTTCCGAACTTGAAGCTTCGGTTTATAACTAGTGCCTTAAAACAATCGTGTTCGTATTTAGATTCTTTTTTTAAAATACTTTTAAGAAACCTTACACCGTTTCTCTCATGAATGGTGTATTTCATTTTCTTGTGCTGAGCGACTAAGTCGCAGTTAGAGACTACGTCAGACACTGATGTTGATGTTTCCGCTATTTTTTGTTTTCTATCTTTTGAATCAGACTTGTGAGGTATATAGGCAACTTGAAAATCATCTGAAAATAAAGGCCAGTCTTCCTTATTACAATTAAAATATTTTATCTTCTCATCTGTTACATTTTTCAATTCTCCTAACTTATCAGAACACTGCACTGGGTCGATTTCTTTTATATGTAGGCTGCTGTTTGGTAGGGGCCTAGCTGATTGCATATTAGGCAAAAACAAAGGTGTCGCCGTGGGTACAAATGAAGTAGGAACTGAAGTAGTTCTATTTTCCTGTATTAATTCGGAATTTTTCCCTTGGTCTGTAGTTGCAGCCGTTTCCTGTGTTAGGGAGTCTGGAGTGGTGCGGTTAGAGAACCTGCTGAACTTAAATGCCGGGCTCTCAGTAACAGAGGGTCTCTCTCTTCTGAACACTCCAGTAGAGGACTGAGTTGTTCTCACAGCGCTGGTTTTGGAGACCTCTTTGTTTTTTCCATCTTGTACACATACGGGAGGACTATACACAAAGGTTACTGAATTATTAGCATTATTTGCGACTCTTTCCACAGGTGGATTTTGTTCTGTACCGTTAAAACGTTCACAAGAAGATAGAACATTAGGTTTACTTAAAATATCTGAGAGAGGAGTGACAGTCCGAGTATCTGGATCATGTACATTTATGAGCCAATTATTTATATGTTGAGTTTTAGAGAGTGACAGTGTATCTTCATCAAAGCAGCTTAGATTTGTTGATTGTAGATTTACTGATTTGAGAGAAACAGAATTTTGCTGGTTTGATGTGGAAAGCTCCTTGTTAATTGTTAAATATATTTCTTCATGTTCCCCAGCCTCGAGACTGTCTATACTTGAGAGGGTTTCAGAGTTTGTTATTTGATTAACTTCATCACAAAATTTCTGAAAGAAAAAAAAAAAACCCATTGTTCCATAGCTTAGAACTTTTCAAATGCCAAAATTAATGATTCAACACCCCACTGTTACTGAGACCTATTGTCCTTGGCATATAAAATAATGACTACAAACACTGTAAGTATATAAATAGTCTATATCCCTGGAGTAGTCCTCAGAGTGAAAAAGAGGGAGCCAACAAAGACTTACAATAAAGTGTGTTTGCTTTAATTTCTACACCTGAACTAACTACCTAATTATTCTAGTCACAGTTCTAGCTTAGAAAATAATTTTGCTATTGCTATTCCATTTGGAGTATTGAGTTTCTTGAAAGTTTCATAACAGCAAGTGAAAATTCTGAAAAATAGTTATTTACAAATGGTATTTTTTCCCCTGAAACCTTCACTGGATTTGCATGAGATCCCTAAAGTTCTGTGACCCTAACGTGAGCTTCCTGTAGGTAGGGTTACATCTTTGTATAACAGTTAATCTTGTGGCCTATCCAGTCGAGTTCTCCACTCCGGCTGCATAGTGCAATCACATAAGGAGCTTCGTAGAAATAACTAGGCCTGGGTCCTGCTGCTTTAAGACTGGTATGGGGTTCATGTATTGGTATTTTTGTTTTAAAGTTCCCCAGGTAATTCTAATGTGGATGTAGAATTGAGAATTCTGGATTTTAATGACTCCTTTTCTGAGACTTAAAACAGTAATAATTTCTATGAATTTCATAGACATTCTCATCACTATTTCAATGAAATTTAATGGAACTTATCAGTCTTTAATAAAATTTCATGATTACTTCAAAGTATGGTATATGTTTAAAGATATTTCTAATTTCTCACATATACCTAGAATGTACTGATCTGTATCACATATCAATAAATATATTCAAGAGGATTTTAGATTGTAAATCCTAGTCAAAAAGTTAAATGGACTCAAAAGGAAATCATTGTCCTCAAAGATTTTTCATGAATTCTAGAAAATTTAAATATTCTGATCCTAAACAAAAATATACTATTTTTCTAGACCATTAAATAAATGAAGAAACCCAGGAAACTGATTACAGAATAAAAATATTTTAGTTTGTATAGTTGATGCTTATTGATATATTATCATGAAGTAAGTTTTGAAAAAGATTCATGAGAGTTTGATATTCCTGGCGTTTACCACCTACTTCTCACATCCTTCAGGACTATGGGGTCTTTTTAAAGCGATGGTCGGTCACTAGCCTAATCGGGAGAACAAAACAGAGCTTAGGTCCTTCACTGCCTGTTTCTGCAGATGAGCTGTTTTAATAGATAATGATAAGGAAACCCAGGAGGGCTTCCTTTGAGTTTACATGTAATAAGATGTAGAAATCTGGGTTTGAGGGTCTTTCTAGATGTGTGTGTGATATTCATGGCTCTAAGATTTCTGTTGTCATAGGTCTCTGATGGCCTCATATGCCAAAGCACCTGGAAAGAAGTTTAGTAATTTCTGATTTCACTAAACTATTTTTCCCCCAGATTTTTTTCTCATACCTAAGAAATGAAACCTATAACCAGCTTCAACTTCTGCTTGTAAGTTACTGATGTAGCTGTACTAATTTATTGTTGTCTTTCAGTATTTCTGTGTTTTAGTTTTAAAATCAACCTTATTGAGGTAAACTTATCTACTAAATGCATTTTAAATGTATATAGTTTGATGGATTTTGACGAATTATTCACCCAGACCCACCATATCTAACGTGAAAGTCCGTACCTGTCCACCACTAACCACCATTAATCTGCTGTCACTACAGAACTGAGTTCTCATCTGGTATCATTTTCCTTCTGCCTGAAAAACTTCCAGTGGCATTTCTTCTAGCTCAGATGCTGGTGTAGCACAGTGGTGTTCAGCTTGTTTAAGATGCCTATTTTGCCTTTGTTCTAGAAGGATACTGTTAGCTGGATATGGGATTCTAGGTTGGAAGTTTTCTGTTCTTTCTCAGAACTTTAAAAATGCTTTGCTGCCTTCTGTCCTGCAGTTAATGTGGTCTGTCTTGTCTTTGTTCACCCACATGTGTAGGTGGATCTTTTTCTCTCTCTAGGTAAATTTTTCAAAATAATTTTTTAAATGGGTACAGTTGACACACACAATGCTACATCAGTTTCAGGTGTACAACACAGTCCACAAATCTGTATGTGATGCCGTGCTCACCACCAGTGTGGCCGCCCCAGTCCCCACACAAAGCTATCACACCACTGACTACATTCCCTGTGTTGTGTAGCTGCACTGAATGTTGATGCGCCTTTGCAGGGTGTGTGTGAGTGTGTACACGTGTGCATACTTCTCCTTTGGGGAGCTTGCTGAGCTATTTGGATCTGAGGATTTACAGTTTTGCCAACTTTGAGACATTTTCAGCCATTATTTCTTTTAATACTCTGGGATTTTAATTAAATGTATGTTAGACTGCTTGATGTCATCTCAAGATTCTGTTCATTTTTTTCCTGTCTTTTTTCTTACAATGCTTCGATATGGATCATTTCTACTGCCATGTATTCAAGGCCACTGATTTTTTTTTTTTTTGTCTGTAAGCTTGCACTGTTAAGTCCACCCAGTGAAATTTTCATTTCAAATATTTTTCAGATCTATAAGGTCTATTTGGTTCTTTAAAAAATATCTTTTTGGGGCGCCTGGGTGGCGCAGTCGGTTAAGCGTCCGACTTCAGCCAGGTCACGATCTCGCGGTCCGTGAGTTCGAGCCCCGTGTCAGGCTCTGGGCTGATGGCTCAGAGCCTGGAGCCTGTTTCCGATTCTGTGTCTCCCTCTCTCTCTCTGCCTCTCCCCCGTTCATGCTCTGTCTCTCTCTGCCCCAAAAATAAATAAACGTTGAAAAAATATCTTTTTCCGACAGAATCATTTTTACTTTAATTCCCTAAAAATATTTACAAAAACAGTTTTAAATTCCCTGCCTGTTAATCTTTCATCTCTGTCCTCTGTGTAACTGATTATATTGACTAATTTCTCTCCTGGTTATGGGCCCTATTTTTTTTTTTTTTTTTTTTTTTTTACGTGTCTGGTAAGTTTTTATTTATTTATTTATTTATTTATTTTTTAATTTTTTTTTTCAACGTTTATTTATTTTTTTTGGGACAGAGAGAGACAGAGCATGAACGGGGGAGGGGCAGAGAGAGAGGGAGACACAGAACGGAAACAGGCTCCAGGCTCTGAGCCATCAGCCCAGAGCCTGACGCGGGGCTCAAACTCACGGACCGCGAGATCGTGACCTGGCTGAAGTCGGACGCTTAACCGACTGCGCCACCCAGGCGCCCCAGGTGTCTGGTAAGTTTTGATGGAATATTGGACATCATGGACCTTATGTTGTCTGACTAGATTTTAGTCTTTAAGAGACAGAGAGTGGGTTAGCTGTGGATTTTTTTGAGGCTCGTCCAGAGAATATGTCCAGTTAAAAAGCCTAAGTGAGTATAGGGCTCCTCTCATTTGTTCACCTGTTTTTGAGATCACAGCTGATAGTGCCTGTTGGCTAATGTCTAGACACAGCTGTTTCAGATACTTTATTCAGAATTATGGTTGTTTACAGCAGGAAGGCATTTCATCATAGTCTCCTGCTTTGCTATTTTTTAGCTTTGTCACAATTGGTTAGTTATTGGATAAATCAGGCCAAGGTTATGAATTTAATCTTGATACCAGCCTATTAAGAATCCCATAAAGGTGTGTAGTTACTCATGAAAAATAAAGTGTGCAAACGTTTCAAGAAAATGAGCTGAGGGGCGCCTGGGTGGCGCAGTCGGTTAAGCGTCCGACTTCAGCCAGGTCACGATCTCGCGGTCTGTGAGTTCGAGCCCCGCGTCAGGCTCTGGGCTGATGGCTCAGAGCCTGGAGCCTGTTTCCAATTCTGTGTCTCCCTCTCTCTCTGCCCCTCCTCCATTCATGCTCTGTCTCTCTCTGTCCCAAAAATAAATAAACGTTGAAAAAAAAATTTTTTTTAAAAAAAGAAAATGAGCTGAAACTCATACTCATTTGTGGGGAAAGAAAACAAAGTGAATGCCTGATCAGAGAGCTAGAACAGAAATGCCATTTCTAGCTAATTGCGACATATTTTCATTAAGAACCTAATGTCCACATGTATTATAAATTTTAAGGATGCTTTTTATAATCCAGTGTCTAACAATGAAACTTATGTTACATTTTACTTAAAATAGCTTTCATTTTTGATCAGAAAATAACATTCATAAAGCATATTTTTCCAAATATGAGAGATGGCAAAAGAATAGAGAAAGCAGAGTGAAAAGTGAACAAAAGGTAGAAAAATCTAAAAAATTATTTCTGTAGTATCTGTGATGAATTTGTGTTGATTCATCCACGTGCTATCCTCGGTGAATGGCATACTTTTCTTTAGTGTAGAATATGCAGAGATGGGACAGAATTATTACTAGATATTAAAATATTAACATTTATAGTTTCATACTTGCAAACTGCTTAGATGCTGATCTTCTAGGAGTTTCTGAGTTTCTTCCAGTTTAAGCTGGAACGCATCTTTGTTAGTAGCCAAGTTTGCCCTGTTGTTTTCCTTCATTTCTTTATCACAACTGATTTTGGATAAGAGATGTTTCTGATGCTTGTGACCATTTTTTGACAATGATGAAGGCAAGGCATTATCTATAGCTCTGTGAACCATACACAAAAAATATTTAGTACATTTAAATAAAGTTAGTTTCTCTCTCTATATAAATGACACATTTATGTTTGGTGTGTGTGTGTGTGTGTGTGTGTGTGTGTGTGTGTGTGTGTGTGTTCAGATAATCACATGTAAGGATACTGGAAGGGGAATTTAAGGCAGTCAACAGAATAAAATGGGTGTGGGATTATAGTGCCAATAAAGTACTCCACCTTGACGTGGGAATACCCCATTATTCACGGCTTTGATTATTAAATGTTATTCCTCTATTGTTCGGGATAGAGGTAGAAGGAATTCCTATAGATATGTAGAGTCAGTCCTTAGTTCTTTAAGAGCATTCCTATCTGGATAAGAATATGCTGTATTACCCTTAGTTCTGAGTCAATGTGATAGCTGGTAGGTATTCCTATAACCCAAATAAAGTTGGTTGAGGATTCAAGCAGACAGAAAATATGAAAATTGCCTGTCAGGGGAGGCAGGAATTTCCATCCTACTTTATTAGGCTTGGGAGCCTGGGTCTTACTTAAGGAAGGACAGTATACACACTTGTTTACAAATGTAAACATGGTTTTCACGCCACAGAAAGGGTATCTTTAGTACAGGGTCTACTTCTAGTGTGTGAGTGCACCCACAAATTATTAGTGGGTGACATCACCTTCTATGAAAATTCTGCATCTTCTGGAAACTTACAGCATGTTCGATTTCAGCATATGCACACAGTGAAAAGCAAAGAACAAAGGAGCAGTGTTTCAGGGGGATGGGGAGGAAGTATACCAAAGAGCTGACTGCTGCTGCATTATAGCCAGTGGAATGGACCCCAAGGGCTTTATTCCCAATTCACTTGCACTATTCCTCATTGAGTGAGGATAAAAATGTTTAGAGGACACACGGCCACACGTACCATATACCTATCTCCAATACGCATATACGTCTTTATTTGGACAAATGGAATAGTCAGGGCCTAGATTCCTGACTACCCTCTTGTGACCACAGGGAGGGTATTTAATGCAAGCCCCTGAGCACTGGGAGTATGTTTCTCTCTCTTCCTTGTAGGCTTCCTACTCTTACAGTTTCCTTCCCCTTCAGTCACCCTTCCCAAACAGAATGTTGCTAAATCTACAAAATATCTGATAAACTCAATTTATTTACCTTTAAAGTTGACGTCTCTCAACTTTTTCTTCTCTATTTCTTTCTTCTCTATTCCACTTGCTTCTCTTCTCTTCTCTACTTTCTTCCCCCAGGGAGGAGGGTTGAGGGGATGAACAGGAATAAAAGGAGATGGGGAGGCAGGAAGAGAAGGAGAGTAAAGCACGGGGGGAAAGGAGGAAGAAACAGGACAGGCTGGAAAGGGAAAATTTAAACATGTTGGAGGCAAATATGGTGAGGGAGCTGAATGCAGAGGTGAGGAAAAAAGAGGGGTGGATGAAGGGGGTAAGGATGGAGAAGTGGGAGAGGAGAGGAAGGGAGAGGACAGAATGGATGGAGAGGATGTGGAAGTGGAAGGTGATGGAGACAAAGAGGAGCAGGGAGAGTGACAGGGAGGCAGATGGCAGGGGACTGAGGCCAGAGGATGGTCTACAAAGGCCTGGGACAGATCTGACAATGTTGTGGTTTGTGGAACAGACCGCTGGGCTGACTGGAAAGGATCTAAGATAGTGGGATGTGCAGGCACCAGACTGGTATCAGGGAGAGTGGGGGCTGGCTGATGAGGGAGGTGACTGGGTAAACAGGAAGGCTTCAAAGCAGGGAGAGCTTCCATGGGGACTGGGGATACAACCAGTCGAGCTGGAAGGGAACGACGAACAAGGGCAGGCATTAGAGTGGCTGGAGTACAATGCCGTGGGGGGCAATGTCTGGGTCTGAAAGTTTTGTAGAATAACTGGCCTTGTGAGTCAGGATCAGGGATGACCACAGAACTTCGGGGTGGGTGGGGCACACGGTCAGGTTGGCCAGAAGGCATTGGGGCTGGTAGACGGGGGAAGCTGCTAGAAAAGCTGGTGGTTACTGGGGCTGGGGGGTGAGGAAGATACGTGACCGGGGAGGACAGTATTGGGGCTGGTAAAAAGGTCTTCGGAGGAACAGAGGGGACAGCCAGGCGGACAGGCAGGGCTTGGGGCTGGTGGGGGGTAGAAACAGTGGGACAGCTAGGGAGGATCTGGGAACGGTGGGATAGCAGTGGGGCCCGCACAGGAGACAGCTGAACAGGTAAGCAGGGATAAGGTGTGGGAACAGCTGGACAGGCAGGAATGGATCTGCACAGGTGGAAAAGCATTTGGACAGGCAGGTAGAGAGACAGCCTCATTAAGATGTTTTTTGTTGTTGACGTTCATTAGGCTGTCTCTAGGCTCTTGATTCGTATCATATTTTGGTCCTGAGGGTCCATGCATGACACTCTTCTCATCACCCAGCGCCCTCACACATGTGGGGAGAGCTGTGTGTAGTTTATTCACGACCCCTTTTCTCTTTCCTCGAAAGAGTACTTTCACCTCTTGGAGGCCTGACAGTCAACTGGATAATGAACATGGGCTAGAAAAATCTGATTTACATTACTGGTATGGAAGGAAAACAGAGGTCCAGTGGACCACGGCTGGGCTGTGGCCAGATTTCTCAGGGTTGCATGTGGCTCAGGATCACCTGTCTCACCACAAATACATGGATATTGGAGATAGATATCTAACATCATCATTTTAAAGTATAAAACTTTAATTTGGGGGAAATACAGCTTCTTTTACCTTATATCTACCAGAAGGGTGAAGTAAGTTATCCTTGTGATAAAGATTTGCTCATGATGGAAGGCTGATTACTTGTATTTTTAATGTTAGTTCCTTATTAATATTCTTATATCTCATTACTTCCTGAGCAACTTCTATTTTCATATGGATTTATTTCTCTGATTGTTCTTGATGCTTCAGCATTGAATGCCCTCCAGTTTTTCATACAATTTTTTTCCTTTAGATTATCACATTACCAACATCGTACTGTTATTATCTGCCACTAATATTTTCCACATTAGAACAATTGTGTTTGAGTACCAATAGAATCAATTTCCTTGGATGCTCCCTACTTCTTGGCATTACTTTATTCCTTAACACATTTTAGGTTTATATTCCACATGCAATGTATTTTTGATGTGACAATATTTGTAGCTTAATCATATTTTCAATAAATAGTACAAATAAGTATTTCTATTAATACCTGATCCTCAATATTCTGATATTTCATATTTGTATAGCACTTTATAATTTACAAAACATTTTCATACATATTATTTAATACCATTATCTGTGGAGAAAAATTCACCTTTTTAATAAGTAAGCCATAGTGCTCTCTCTGTAAATTTGTTATATACAAATTATAAAATTTCTCTGTATACATTTGTTGTTTTCTAAATACGTAACATTTATGTGTGTGTGTGAGTGCATATATATATATACATATATATGTATATATATATATGTATATATACACATATATATATGTATATATATATGTATATATACATACATGGGTATAGATGTCATGAAGTCACGGTCAAAAGAATATATTACAATAGCATATGAAAATGATATACTCTAGTTTAGAATGGAGAGCACGTCTCATAAAACAAAGATGATGTGTGCTATTTAATGGTCCTAGCCCAGATTGGGTGTAGTGCTAGCTACGTTTGCTACAGGGAAATCAAAGTTATTCTGATACTTCATCTCTTCTAAGACTCTAAAGAACTGTACACTGTTGAGCAAAAAAGGTCTAGCCTTTCATTCCTAGTACTAAAGAGCCTTTTTTATTGAAAATATCTGATATCACAAAGGATAACAACTGATACGTGGGAAGAGAAAGCTGTGAGTAAGGAAAACCTGTATACAAAAATGCATCTTACTTTTATACTAAACGATTGGGATTTTTTATTACTCTAAATTCCTCCCGGACCCCAAAAGCTCCTGTAAATGTCTGTCATCTTCCCCTTCCTGCCGAGTCTGAAAGTCTATTGCTGTCCCTGCCTCGACTCCCACTTGTCCCTCAGCCGCTGCCAGCTGGCCTCCACCTCCGCTGCTCGGGGCCCAGCTCTCGCTCGTGATTGACGAACTGACCGAATAGCTGCAAACACGGACACTTCCCGACTGGAATCCCCGGGTCTTCATGCCATTGCTCTCCTGGTTATTTCCCTACGTCCCCGGGTGTTCCTTCTCACGTTCCCTCTTGAGCTCCTCTCTTTGCTTGTCCTTTATACACTGGATTATTTTATAGTAAACTTTAAAGAATTTATTTCAACTTCATTTACTTATATTTCTTGGAATGGGAATATGTATATTAGTCACCAATAAATGCTTGCTGCTTTAAATTTACAATTACCTTACTTGCAGAAACTTAAAAATTATTCCAATTAAATGGAAAAAAAGTACAAAAAAATTTCTTTTGCATTTTTACAGCAGCCAAAACTTGTAACCAAAACTTGTCAGCGGCTGTTTCCTAAGCTTAAAGCATTCTGACTTCATACCTTGATTATCAACAGCGGGGGAAGAAAGACCATAGCTTTTACACTGCACCTAGCACAGTCTCCCTTCTGGGCACTCACAGCTTGATCCTGGATTATTATTTTACTGTTCAAACACAGCCAATTGCTCAAACTTTCAAGAAAGTTTAGGCGCACCTGGGTGGCTCAGTCCATTAAGCGTCCCACTCCTGAGTTCAGCTCAGGTCATATTCTCATGGCTCGCAAGATGGAGCCACAAGGTGGGCTCTGTGCTGACTGTGGAGCCTGCTTACGATTCTCTCTGTCCCTCCCCTGCTCGCTCTCACTCTCTTTTTCTACCCAGAAAAAAAATTTTTTTTAAATAAATAAAGTTTAAAAGGACTTTTGGTACATATTACTGGTATTGCTTGCTAAGATTTAAGAACCCCCAAAATGGGAATCAGAAAATGACCCACAATTTAAAAAAAATACCCTAAGGGACTGACTACTACACAGTGCAATCTGGTGTTCAGTATCAATAGTGTTTTTGAATTAGATGGTATTTTTCACAAACCACCTCATTAAGTATCTGGTAAACACTTTGCCATTACAGTAAGTGTTGGGAGAATAAGTTCCAAAGAGAATTAATCTGATTTGCTTAACCTAACACTGCAAGACAAAATCTCCAGCATAACCAAGACTAGGAACGTATGCTGTGGGTCTGCACATCCTTAGGGATGCTCATCTAGACTGGTACTTCGCTCCTAAAATCCAGAGAATGGCTAAACACTGAAATGGACTCCTGCTTTAAAAGCGATCTGTTGGGGTGCCAGGGAGGCTCAGTCGGTTAAGGGTCCGACTTTGGCTCAGGTCATGATCTCGCAGTCAGTGAGTTTGAGCCCCGCGTCGGGCTCTGTGCTGAAAGCTTGGAGCTAGAACTTGCTTCCGACTCTGTGTCTCCCTCTCTCTCTGCCCCTCCCCCACTCATGCTCTGTCTCTCTCTCAAAATAATAAACATAAAAAAAAATGATTTGTTAAATGTGTTTGTAAAACTAAAAAAACTTTCCAAAAGGTCAAAAGAGATACAATTATTTTATCTCCTTACTCCAGGTAATTCTGTTAAAAAGATAGTCTGAACTCTAATTTTAATTTATAAAGTTTTGATGTAAAAGCTAATGTATTGAAATCCAGTAAAGTTCTGAAACTTCATTTAAATTAAAAAAACAACTATGCATTTTGGTGAGTTTTTACAAGCTGTACTCTTGACAGAAAGAATCACTTTTTTTATCTTGCTGGGATTTTTGAGAGTCACATGACCCACTTCCTTGCTTCTCCGTCCCTACCCTGCGTACAATCCAGAGGACTGGTTGGATACACCACAGCTAGCTGACATCAAGCTACAGCTCTGGGTTTCCCTGAGTGTGGTAACTCGTGTACCTGGACACGTGTCTCACATGGACCTCGGCGGCATCGCTGCTCTGGAGCCATCGCCAGAAATACTGGTTCCTGTTTGGAAGATGGGGTTTCTGCCAGGGTGGCTCTACGCCCACCCACTGGGACCTTGTTTCCTTACAGGTGAGATGTCACTCGAGGGGCGAGGGGCATAGCAAAGACTGACCGCTTTGTGCTGAGCCACGAGGACTCCTCCTATTGAAATAGAATCTTGTCCATTGCCATGAAGTGTGCTCTGTCCTCTAAGTGAAGCCAAACCCGGCTTGCTGTAGCTGTGGGAGTCCGATGGCCTAGCTGAACTCATGAGCCATGTCTTTAATTCCATCCATTTGTTGGCAACGATCACATCTATATTTGTGGCTGAGATTTCTAACCATGAGAAACTGACTTGGGAATATCCTAAATGTGTCCTGACAGTTGCTATCCTCTTGCCTCTCCTTCCTTAACAATCCTTTTGATAAACGGTGTCACTACCTCGTAACTGACCAATCTCCGTCCCTTTCACTCCTCCTGAACCCCTGGTTCCAGTTCGATTCCACCTCCTAAACAGCTCTCACGAGGTCTTCATTTTCACTAAGTATCACTTGACCTGATTTTCCCACCGTTAGCCTTACCCTACTTTTGTCCATTCTGACAGTCATTCTGAAGTATACACGTGGAATGTTTCATTCAGTAATTGTTTTTAGGACAGACTCTTTAACAAGGCCCTTGATGAGTTAACTTGTGGCTTCCTTTCAGCCAGCCTATCTGCCCCAACTCCTCTCTGTGCGCACACCAGACGGGCCGAACTGCGCTCAGTCCCGTAACAAAACATGCTCTTTCATGGCATCATGCCCTTCCACACACGACTTGTTCCCTCGTCTGTGGTTCCCTCCTAGTGTTTGCCTTTCCTGAATACCCTCCTCATCAATTAAGCTTCAGATCAAGCTCATACTCTCTGAGGAGTGTTCACGTCTCTCCACTCCAAGTATTTAATGAACGCCTCCAACATGCACAGCACTGAGCCAGGAACACCACCGGCACAGCACCTGCACGTGTGACATCTAGCCTTTATTACATCCAGTTGGGGAGACACTAGTACATGTAACAAGCAACAATATACATAATCATGACTTTCAAATGTATTTCTATAGCTTGATCTCTCATTTCATCTTAGGTCAAATTGTTTTTATACATTTCTACTTGGATATTTATCCCCTCAATTCAGAAGCCTCAAATGAAATTTATTTACTTATTTAAAAAATTTTAAAAAAATGTTTATTTTTGACAGACAGAGTACAACTGGGTGAAGGGCAGAGAAAGAGAGGGAGACGGAATCCGAAGCAGGATACAGGCTCTGAGCTGTCAGCACAGAGCCCGACGTGGGGCTTGAACTCAGGAACCGCAAGATCGTGACCTGAACTTAAGTCGGAGGCTTAACTGACTGAGCCATGCAGGCGCCCCTAGAAGCCTCAAATGAAATTCAGCAACATCTCACCAAACCAGTACTGTTTCATTTTGTTTCTTTTTAAAGTCACCAAATTACCTCAACATTTCAGTTCCTTTTGATTTCGTTTTTTTCATTTTCTTTATTCCCTCATACACCAAACTCATAATCTAATTTCTATAATCTATTTTTATGAAATGTCTTTTCCTTCTTTCTTTTCAACTTTCTTTTAACATAAGTCCTTTTAAATTCATGGCTGTGCCTCCTGATTTTCCTGCCACTAATCACTCTGTGCTCCAATTTGTATATGTCTAGTCGATCAACATTCTTAAACTCTTATTTCTTTATGTCACTTCTCTGTTTTGTGAAAAGGCATTTTCATTTTTTCTTCTCTAATCCTTTCCTTCTAATCACTCAAAATATTTATATTCTTTAACAGATCTATCATTTCCTCGCTATACAAAATTGTACTAGTCCAGCATTGGCAGTGACGACCTCTCCTTGGGATCATCCCATTAATTTCGTCTCGTGCCCTTTGCCTTCAATGTCTCTCCATCCTTTTCATTCTCCAACACTCATACCAGTTATCTTTCTAAAACAACAGAGGATGAGATCACTCTCTGATCGATCACCTGCATGGGTTTTCTACTAGTTATAGAACAAACCTCAAACTTCCTAGCCAGAAATAAAAACATTTCACATTCAATTTTTCTGGACCATCTCCTGTCCTTCCAGCAACACGCCTTACAGTCCTGTCTTTCTGAGCGAGTCCTATTTCCTCCTACCACACTGCAGGCCTGAACAGGCCTACACTCGGCCTCTGCTTCTTCATGAGACAATGTGCACCCATCCTTTAGGACTTCTTTCCAACTTCACGATTCATACGTTGCCCTTGGCTAATATTCCCATTACAGCTCCCCTTACACAGTGTTACGTGTGTGTTCTAACGTAACTGCAAACCTTTCCCGAGAGGAGAACCACATCTCACTCATAGTGTAACCCATGCTAATCCTCGTCCAGCTCAAACTAGGTATGTAAGATGCTCCACATGCTTGCCCTCCTCTGTCTTTCTAGACCACGTTCTGTTACTCATCAGTCTGTGGGACCTGACTGGGCCCTACATCTTTTCTGGCTATCTTTCTATCACTCTTTTCCTTTTGAAGACAAACTACGCTTCTTATCTTTACTTTCTTGCTCTCTGTGTCTTTTCAACTTCTAGTAATCTCTTTCCTGTGCCTATCACTTCATTGAAACTACTCTGACAGAGTCACCACTGTGACTTTTTTATTGTGAAATATAGTAGACGCACTGCTTCTTTTTAAAAATTTTTTTCAACGTTTTTTATTTATTTTTGAGACAGGGAGAGACAGAGCATGAACGGGGGAGGGTCAGAGAGAGGGAGACACAGAATCTGAAACAGGCTCCAGGCTCTGAGCTGTCAGCACAGAGCCCGACGCGGGGCTCGAACTCACGGACCGCGAGATCATGACCTGAGCCGAAGTCGGACGCTCAACCGACTGAGCCACCCAGGCGCCCCTAGATGCACTGCTTCTATAGTGGACACTGTCTTTTCCCCTCCAGATTCACTTTCTGGGCTTCTCCACTTCTCTCTGCTTGGCAGATACTAAATGATCCTTTGCCTTCTGATTTATGGCTCAGTTTGGTTGATGGGAGGCACAAGAGACAGGACGACAGAGGGAAGAGGCACTTGAGAACTGTCCTTTTAGCCTGACCTCTGCCCTCAGCAATGCTCCCCTACCCAGGACCACGGGCTGGCTAGCAGCCCTCTTCCACAGCAGTTGCAGAGCTTCCGGTTCAGCTCCGAGGTGGTCACGGTCATGCTGATTCTATTCTCAGTACCTGGGGCACTTCATCATTCTTTGTTGGCTTTGCACTTCCTTTATCCACCTCTTTTCTGTCACCCCTTTTTTATGTGCCACCTGTTTCATGTCAGGGTAACAAGTTTTTATGTCACTAACTCCCTGGAAGCCATTTGAACTCTACTAACTGCTTTTTTTCCAGGAAACTCCACACTTCTTTAGTTTGCATGATCCCACCCCGTCCTACGTCAACCTTCTGTTCCTATTTGTGGGCCTGTTCTCTACATCCTTAAATGTTGCTATTCTTCAGGGCTCTGCCCTACACCTGCCATCACGGTACACACTCTCCATGGCTGCGTCTCATCCATGAGCTGTGTTGAATCAACTTAAGCCTGTATCTTTCTCTCGAGCTATGAACTCATATAATTTCAATGACATATATTAGAATAGCCTCCTGTTTTGTCCTCTTCTAATCCATTATCCACATGTTTAGATTGGAATGATAAATGATAAAAGAGAAAAGCTGATCTTACCCCCCCTTCTACTTAAGATCCTTCACTGACTCGTCTCGAACTCTCAGGATAAAGTGTGCACTCCTTAGCGCACAGACGCATTTACCCCTCCAATCTCCTGCCTGGACAGGCTACTGGGATTCTGTGCTCTGGCATTCCACGTGCTCTCCTTCCCAGAGCACATCACTCCTTCTACCACTCTTGTCCTGCACACACACTCATCCCTCTCTGTCTGGAGTACCAGGGCTCACTCATTTCATAATTAATCCCTAGTCTCTTCAAAGCTTTGTTGAAGAATCTTCTGTTCCATGAGGTCTTTCCTCAACTACAATGAAGACTGAGAAAATGAATTGTTCTTAGCTCTGATCAAGGGAACTACTGGCCACAGATATTCTAAAAATGGAAGTACTTTAGTAAATAACATTATGTACAGGCAAAATATAAACATTAATTAATGTCTCCATTGTAAATGTCTTTATATAAATAAATATTACATATTATTATCATTACTCTTGGGGTACTAGTCTATACTTTTTGAAGTATTACACTTCTCTCCTAGATTGTACACTAGGAATTGTATTTTACCATGTTCTTCTTCCCCATATCCCCTTTACGAAGCCTGACTAATGTTATGCAAGTGGTAGCTTTAATAAACATTTATAATAAATAAATGGAGAGATAAAAGATGTCACAGGGCACTGTGTGATGGTTGATCGACTCTATTGCTTCTAATAATTCATTTAAGCTCCTGGAGAGGAACCACAAGCCATTACCTTTTTCAAGACACCCAGGAAAGATTCTCCATGAGGAAACACCCATTTTTCCCAAACAGTTACTCCTTTTATCTAAAAATATATCACTACAATTCAACACTATTTTTTCCTTGCAGTGAAGATAAATAATGAACATCAATATTTTAAAATGGTTTGAATGATAGTTTCCATAGAAATTTATTCAACATAGGCAGCACTGTAATACGAAAGACAATAAATTAGAATTTTGCCTTATTCTGGAAGCAATTTATATTCTACTCTACCTTAATTTAATCTGTGAAAATAAAACATTAAACTCTACAAGGGTGAGGAGTAACTGATGAAATGGCCTACAAACTCAGTAATAGAAAGCTATTTAATTATTACATATTAATAATTATACATAATAATAATAGATTACTTACCTCCAATTTACTGTTGGTCTATGGGAAGAGGGAAGGTTTACTTCTGATTTTAAGTTGGATTCCTGAATTTGTTTGAGGGCTTCTTCCAAAGGAGGAACTGGTTTTTGAAAAGCTAAGAGAATAAAGAAAAATCAAATAGTATAGAATCACTTCATCTTCTCTTTTAACTGGTCAATAATAAATACTACTTTTTATTTATTTATTTATTTATTTATTTATTTATTTATTTATTTATTT